CAGACGAGCTGGATTGTGTACCAGCTCGTCGGAAGGAATCCCTTCCGACGAGCTGGTATGTACACCAGCTCGTCGGGAGGGATTCCTCCCGATGAGCTGGTATGTATACCAGCTTGCCGGGAGGAACCCCTCCCGACGAGCTGGATGTACACCAGCTCTCCGGGAGGGATTCCTCCCGGCGGTATGGCCTCTCTTGGCACCGGGTATCCCTTGGGATACCCGGATATCCGCCAGGTCTGAGCGGAAAAACGGCCATCCGCAGCCGAATCCGCACCCGCTGGCGGGTATCCGCTGGCCCTAGCGGGTATCCGCCAGGGGATAGCGGATATCCGCGGCGGATTATCCCCGCCCATCTCTAGTCTTTTGCTGTTGGGATTTGCCTATAAGCTTTCTCCCAGTCGAAGATTGCCAGTAGCGCGGTGCCCTTAAGTTTCCGGAAGAAAGTTGCCACCAGGTTGAAGTCATCCCAAGTCGTTTTGAAATCATCAGCTTCGACAAAGGAGTTGACCGACGGGATTCCGTCTTTACCATGTGGGTGTGAGAGGTTGTTGATGGGTCTCAGCGACCCGTCTCCGTTTATCACCGCGCCTAGTGGGTTCGTCCGGAAAAACGGAAACCTCTGAGTGACTTGGTCCTTCTTGAAAGGGCCGTACATACGGCCTGCCTCGATTTCTGTTCGCAGGGACTTCTCAATCTTCTCTTTAGCTTGCAGGGCGGACGCGTGGTTTGGTGGTGTGTAGTATGGCAGATCACCTATCGTATGTTGCGGTATCCCTTGGTCAAATCCATCTTTGAAACCTTTTACGACGTTGTCGAATTGTGGAAGAAGTCCGGCGTTCTTTAGGGCTGCTTCCCATTCTGGGATGTTCATCTCACACGTCACCTTTGATGGCCAACACTCTTTGTTCTCTGACCGGATCTCTTCTTGTCGGATTGACGGAATCTCACTCCGGTCAGTCTCAGTGGTCCTCGTGGACTCCTCTTGGAGTTCAAGATAGTTATGATTCAAAGTACTGTTTATATTGCGTAGACGGGTAGCATGGGAAGGGGGGGGGAGGAGAAACAACTGCTAATAAGCGACTAGTTACAATCTAATAGCGAGGTTAACGGGAGGTATGGTTGCTACTGGGGAATGGAAGTGTATGGGGTGGATTGGAGGGAAGCAATTGGGTAAGAGAATTGGTCGTGAAGGGGGGTATAGAGGTTGTGGAGCACTTACGATTGGCTGCTTAACACCATTTGGTCGTTTTGTTGACCCGTTGGTGGGGCGGCCCCTCGGCGTTGGTCTTGGTAGTTGGGAATGAAATTCTTCCCCTTATAGCCGCTGTTTCTCGGTGCTCTTTGTTCGGAGTTCCTAGCATTGGGACCCCCTTGATTAGCGGACGGGTGATGGAAGGGGGTTTGTTGGTAGTGGGGTTGTATGTACGGGGGTTGTTGGGGTTGGAAGTGTTGCTGTTGTTGGTGATGGTGGTTGTACTGGGCGTGTTGGCCCTGGTACGGAGTGCTTTGGGTTTGGTAGTTCTTGGCGAACGGTTGCTTGCCTTGTTTGGGCAGGCCGGTGAGGGGGTCGATGTGGGCTCTGGGTCCCCCTGCCGCGTAAGGGTTGGTATCTCTGAAGCCGAGTTTGTCAAAGTTTTGTGCTTCGGCGTAGCAAGACTCTGCGATGTCAATGCGCAAGACTGATATGTCGGGCACTGATGGATCACCGTTTATCACGACCCTGTGGGCGAACACGTTGGTTCTCAACTGGATGTCGTAGCGCAACGCCGTCATGAAGCCTTCTTTCGCTTGCATTCTATCACAATTTGCCTTGTGTTCGAGCAGCCATCCGGCAAAGGTGGGGAATTGGTATATGTCACGGAGGGCTAAGTGAAAGGCGCGGTGATTAATCGTCCAGTCGCTGAACGACTGCTCCCACTCGTTCTGGAACTTGAGGCCAGAGTATCTGTCTTTGGTTTCAGAGGACTCGTCGGATTTCGATCTTTTATCCGCGTGGAAAAGGACTGCCGCGTCCTGCCACTTCTTGTTGAATATGGTCAGTGGTATCAGACCTTTCAACTCTTTCATGTTTTTGTCGAAAAACGTGGGGAGGCCCATGTCTTGGAAGGTATTTACCCCTTTAACGTAGAAAGAGAGTCCTCCTTCCTTGATTTGCGGTTCGGTTGAAGAGATGCCCACCATCGCGAAGGACTTTTGGGGGATCAGTGCTTCGGAGTAGGTCGTCGTGGTCTTCGGCTTGGATTTGGCCTTCGCTTTCAAATCGGCGAGTATGTCAAAGAACATCTCAGCCCTTGCGTCATCGCCTTTCTTTTGGGCGGTCATTGCTTTCTTAAGGATCGCTGCCTGTTCTTCTTCTTCCGAAGGGTCTTCGATTTCCTCTATGGTTCTCTTTTGGCCTGTTCCGGCTGTTTGTGTTGGTTGGATTATTGGATATTTGACTGACATCAGTTCGGATTCTAAGAAGTTTTTTTTTTTTTTTTTTTTTTAAGTTCCTTACCTTGGCTCGGCGCGGCTCGCAACAGCCCCAATACCTCTTCTTGACCACCGTCGCTTCCTTCATCAGGGTTAGGTTCTTCACCCGTTGGGTCTGAGGAGCTTTGCAGGCGCTCCGCTATGGAGGAGAGCCTGGATTTCTTTGCGGTGGCTATGGTTCGGCCCGGGGCTTGGGTTTTGATCCTTTTTTGCGCGGGTCCGCCATCAGTGATGAGTGAGGATGTGACCTCTGCATCCTCTGATCAAAGAGTTTGTTGGTCTGGTTGGTTCGGTAAGTCTCCAGTCGACATATTGCTGTGGGTCTATCCCGCGTCTCGTCAGTTTGGTACTCATTCTTCACCTCTATTTTGGGTCTCATGTGTGCTTACTTTGTATGGGGATTTCGGGCACTTCTTGTCTCGTTTTTATGCGTTCTTGGCTGCCTGATTGAACAAGTCGTGTCAGCTTTGCCTCGTTTCTGGGATTGTCCTCTCTCTTTTTTTTTTTTTTTTTTTTTTTTTTTTTGGCTTACCTTTTGGAATTATAAGATCCTTTGGGCTTTTGGTTGTCTCGTTTGGATCGAGTTGGTCTCTGATTTGAGTTTTGTTTGGTTATTTGGGTTTGTTTGTTTGGTTTTGGTGGAACTGGGATTTTAAGGAGGATTGTGTGAATGAAAAAAAGGCGAAAAAGGAGAGGGATTCTCCCTGAAGAGCGGAGATGAGACTAGGATGGAGGGAAGTGCGGCTCTGAGAGGGTGAAGTCGCTACGGAGAGCTAGCCAGGGCCTAGTGCGTCCTAGCTGGATACACCCGGCTCCGGCCAGGATTCGGATGAGACTGCGCATCCCCTCGCAGCCAAGTACCGCCCGGCAGTCAAACCTAAACCTGTCCGGGCGGCGACGTCTGCCTCTCCTGGCCGTCGCAGCACAGCCTACTACCGCTCCATGGACGCCGGTGAACTCGGGGCTGCGCCCTGCCGTACCTACCATGAATCCGATCCAGAATCACATAAATACCTCTGTTCCCCCCCCCCCCCTCCCCTTCCGAATTCAGGGGGAAGTTACAGCTGCTGATCATGCTCTCTCTCTCTCTCTCACTTCTCAGCCTGAAATAACAATCAACGCCAAAAAAAAAAATAACAAATAGCAATAGCAAGTTGATCAAAGCGGGATCAGAAAACAAGCAACGAAAAGAAAAAAAAAACCTGATAGGGTAAAATGATTTGTAGGATCTGTTACATCTTGCATTTTGGTGTGTAGAAAACATAAGGTGTATAACGCAATACATAGCTGAGGGTTATTGGACATGTTTACTTGGATGAAGAAGAGGAAGGGTACACTCCCGGAGAAGTTTTCAGGACGAATTTCCGATAAAGATCAGAAGAATTATCTGAGATAAGGGACCGGAAGGACGCCTCTGAATCCAACAATTCCTGCAACGCTTCGCGCAGATCTTGGTTCAGGAAGGGAAACGCCTTGAGCCCATAGAACGCCAAACCGGCGCGTCTACGGGCCTGATTTTTGGAAGCTTTTCCGTTTGGGATAGGGACGATATGAGGAGATGATGCGGATGGGGAGTTGGGAGGCTTGGTTGAGGAGCTGGCCTCATTGAGCCGGAAGTTGAGGACAAGATAGGGGTGTCGATGTTCTTGCGGCTTAATGCCCGCATGGGCGGGTGTCCATTGGTATGAAGCCTGAGCTACCGACTCATCGTCGCTCGAGTTAGACACACAAACCGCGCCAAACGTGATCTGTTTCTCACCGATAAGAGCTGTCGTCGGGCCGGACTCGGAGCGAAGGTAGATTGTAAAGAGTTGATCAAAGCTAGGCTGATGGTGTCTGCAAGTGACCGCCGATCCTCGATATAATTGGCGTAACAGGCCCGCTGATGATGGTGTGTGATCGATGGAGATGAAGTGGTTCCAGAAAAGATGTGCTTCAGCCAAGAGTCTCTCTTTATTCTCCTTGTCGATTGAACCGAGCTCAAGGTGTTCTTGGTCCCAGCCCGTGAAAGTCTGTAAGAAGTCTACCAATCGAACTGAATGGCCGAATGGCATGGTGATCAGTCTCTCCGAATCCGGCCCTACAACTGGGGGTGGTGGTGGTGGTGGTGTGTTTTGGATGGTGATTTGCATCGCCCGGAGCAGGATGATCCGGCTCACTAGTCTATCAACATCGCTGAGACCAAACAAGCGTTGGCGGTTGATAGAGGCAAGCACTTGGATGCACCGGATCAGCCTGGCTTCATCAGAGGCCAGGTACTGATTGGCTGCCGAAGACAAGATGAATTGGGAGGGATATCCACTGATGAGCTCGAGTTGAGAGGGGTCGAGGTGGACACATTGCGCGCCATGGCTTGAAATGAGCTTGGCATTCAGATATGAAGCTCCTAAGGTTGATGGCTGTATGGTCGACCCAAGCAATCCAAACACTTGGGAATCGCTCAGGGAGCCGGCTGGAACCGACTGGCCACTCGTGGACAGAAGCTTTTGAAGAGTGTATTGGGTCAAGCCTTGGATGATCTCATCGTCCGCAAGTCCCTTCCTCTTGGCTTCATTGGCATACGCCCGCCAAAAGGGGGAGCCGTAAGATAAGAGCCTAAATGCGGATTGCAACTGTTGTTGATCTGTGGGCGGATCTGTAACGTGTAGATCAAAGGTAGGAATTTCGTATATGGGATCGAAAAGCTTTTTGTGCTTGTGCTTGCCAATCCTGTAATAGGGATGATTGATATAATAGGGTGAGGTAGGATGGAAAGTTGAAAGAAGAGATTTGGTATCTGCAAGGATGGAGAAAAACTCGCTCGAATGGGATGGTATCCTCTGAAGAGCCCCCTGGAAAATGCTCAAGAACGACAGATCTGGGGAAGAGCTATAACTCGCAAACAATTCGCTGGCTTCGTCGATCGCCAAGAGCACTCGGAGATCGTCTTGTCCAATGAACTGGGTGCTCTCTTTCATCCTGTTTAATGCCTCCCAAAGCTGGGCATCCTTCTCGTAGGCAGTCAGACGAGCCGATCTGCTGGAGATCTCGTTCATCTTCGTCGCCACCTCCGTCCAAAAGGGTGGGTCGCCAGATCGATTGGCATGTGGAAAGCTATGGAGCATCCATCGCTCCAATCTTTCTTGTCTACTCCCCGGTTCTTGAGCCGAAAAGTAATCGGCCACAGTATGCAAGATAGCACACAGCAGCTCTTCGTATCGAGTTTGCAGGGTTGGACACTTGGAATCGAGAAGCACGCCCGCAGGATATTCGGATCGGGGCGGATAACCGGTCGCGTCTTTGGGCCGGAGACAGATATAGACGACGCATGTGCGCCTCGACAGCTCCTTCAAGAGTCGCGATTTGCCACCGGTCGATGTTGCAACGAGGGAAGTAGAAGGAGCCAGGTATTTGTCGGGCGTCCACTCGCGGGCCATCTTCTGGAGCGTCTGGAGCGTGGGATCGACGATGCGTTTGGTGTCTAAATATTCATGATTGTTGAATGCTTCTGCAACGATTCCGTCCTCCAGAGGATGATTAAAGAGCCTCTCGGCTTCCTCGTGAGACGAGGGGGCGATCCTTCCATCCCGATCGATTTTGGTCGAACCACCTGTGAGATGGGTGGGGGCATGATTAGTTATTGCTCAGGAGCAACGGATCGGAACAGAAGATGTGCGTACCAGTTGTGCCGTTTTGGCCCAGGAACCCATCAGAATCTTGGGCTTTTTCGGCGCGCTCTTGGAGCCTATAATTAGAGTGGCTTTCCAAGGGGGGCGTCTGGAGATCTTTGTGCATTGAGGCATTGGCGGTTGAGAGGAGCCAATGTGATGTAGAAAGGAGTGGGGTATTGTGTGGGTTTCTGCGGTGGCCGGACAGGATTGATGTTGTTGTAATTGCGGATCTGGGCCAAGACGATTTGAAGATGGAGGGACAGCGAGCTCGAGCCTGGAAGATCATACTTATATTTTTCTTTGGTGTGTTGGGAATCGGGAGTCAATAGATTGATGATATTTATTTTTGATCTAGAATCTGTGGAAGGGCGGGCAATCGAAGACGCAGCTTAGCAGTGATCGCTGATGAGGAACAAGCTAGTATACATATATGAGGAAGACTTTATTCCTCAAGCGCGACGATTGTTAAGGTCTTGAAAGTGGTCATCAGGTCACTAACAGTGATGGTCAGGAAGGAAAGACAGACAGATTGATATGGGCACATGAGGAGCCACAGTTCAACTTTTGGGGGGGTAAGAATAGGAAAGAATAAAAGAGTGTTCGATGAGGAAACAGACACTCAAAGACGATTACTAATTAGCACATATTTCTTTTGCGAGGTACAACATCTCTTGCTAATTACTTTGCATTAACAAGAAATCAGATGTTCTTAACTTTCTAGATCAGTTCGTCTCCAAACCTCGAGCCTTTCTTGAATTTCATTCCCTTCCCAGAATACAATACACATATTCCAATTCCCTTGCCCAGAACATGGGTTGATAAACATTCAATCTCCAACCCACAGCCTGACCCCACGATTTTGACAGATATTTCTTTGAATTTTGTTGAGTGCTGACCACCCCATTTAAGTATGTACATTGTAAAACCAACCAAGAAGGATAGACGGCCATCGAGCCAGCCAAGAATCGAGACTTCTATACATACTCTGCGGATGTGGTGATCCCTGTTTCAATGGAGCAGGTTCAATCCTGTGAATGATGGCCGTGATATTCGTCAGCGACAGACATTCCAATCCGAAAGCCTTCGGACCCATGGAGGGTACAATAACAAGCCGTCTCCGCAAAACTTGCATTTTTTGGACAGCTCCAGACCCCAATCCGATCGTCAACGCGAGCCAAGAGATGGCTCCTCGTTGGAGCTACATACATATGTAGAGGATCCCTGCAGGCCTGTGCGGACTTGGCTACATAAGTGTGTCGGATGATGGAATGCCCAATTCAATTGGGTCCATCATGTAGACTAGGAGCGACAAGGGATTTGGTAAAAGGCATACGAGAACAAACAAGATAACCATACATGTTTGTATCATTATCTCCAACGATGACATAGAAAAAAGAGCCAAGAATCATAGGAAGGAAAGCGCGTCGAATGCGCGATAATCGATCCACAAGAGCCACGAGCGACGAGGATGGAGACGGTGAACTCCACCGTTCTTGCTTGCTCGAAGTCGAAGAGAATTTCCTTCTTCCTTGCTCACCAGACCTCTGATCACCTAAGAAGTAGATGCACGTGCAGAGTTGCAAGCGAAGAGGGTAATCATTCGTCATTGGACCAGACTTGTTGGATTATTAGACACCTCAAGACATATATACGTCTGGTTATCACAATGGCATATCTATCACAGGCCCAAAAACGAGTTGACAAAAAATAAATTAAGGTAGACGAATGGTGTGATACAGATGGGAAGAAGCAAATTAGGTGGGCGAGAAGGATTCCCCTTCTTTGTTTTGTGATCGGGGCCCAGTTGTCGGTTTCTTGAAGCAATAAAACGGACAGGATCTAGATTAAGTATTACAAACGCTTTAAACCTCGGCGAATTGATCATGAAGAGGTCGAGTATGTGGCGGAGAGCCGAAGCAGCGCGAGTTATCGAATTTGATAGCGATCCGATCGGCTTCTTCGATCCCATCGGGCCCGGTATCCTCGAGATTAGCCTGGAGTAACTGGTCGCATTCGAGGGAGATAGTGAGGTCGGATTCGATGTGCGGGCCGACGGGTCGATCGGCGCCTGTGCCGGCGGACAACAACGAGGTGTGCAGGAGCGTCGCCGAGCGATGGTAGGTGTAGGTCGTCGCCGGATGCGCATTCGGCGTCGGCTTCGGCGACAGAGTCGCGATCGAGGGGATCGGGAGCACCCAGATTCGCTCGCGAAGCCGCTTGTGCTGTTCATCATGTCGGCTTCATTCAGTTCCTCGAGGAAAAAAAGAAAAATGGGCCAGGCGGGCGGGAGACTCAACTCGTTCTCTATCATCATCGATTCGATCTAGGATCTCCTTCTTTGAAAACGCCTCAAGCTCGTTATCTGAGCCATTATGATCCACATCCGCCTTCCCCAACCTAAGTACGAACAAAAAACAAAAAACAGAACAAGATCAGTGAAGGGCAGTCCTATTTCTCGGGGGAAAGAAGGGAAGGGAATCGAATGGACACTTGTTTGCGATTGTTCAAGAGGAGATCGATTTGTTCGAGGAGCTCGATGTTCAAGAACTGGTCGATGAGCGAGACCTGAGACTTCCAATTCTTGATGACTTGGAGCGTGCTCATGAGGTTGAGGAGGCCCTTTTTATTGAAGCTAGTGGGCACGACGATCTCGACGAATCGGATGATATCCTTCTTGATCAGATAGCCGTAGTTGAAGCCGCCCGAGGGGTTTTGGGGAGTGATCGATGGCCCTCCGATGGCGTGCGTTCGGCCCTTCTGGTATTGGTAGTCTTGGTGACTCGTCAGGAGCGCCGTCGACGATGTAAACAGCAGGCCATCGATCAAGTATAGGATGTTGATCCTCGCATTCAGATTCACCTACTTATATACACACTCATCATCACCATCCAATCTTTCTTTGCTCAGTTTTTTTCTTTTATATGTTACACACACCTTCTCGGCTTCTTCGATCAAACAATCCCAGAGATCTTCGCCGTACTTGTCCTTATGTTTGAGCAGGAATCGGATGGTCGTTTGGATCGAGTTTTGCGATGAGCTTAGTTTCCGGAGGATCGAGACTAGTTGGAGTCTGACTTGGAATCCATCCATCGCTTTTCGTTGTTGTTGTTGTTTAGAAGTTAGAATGTATTCCTGCCGATGGCCATGCCTCTCCCGGCTTATGTAATCAGCTTCTGGCTTCACATCCACTCACTTCACGACTCACTTGAACGAAAACACGGCTGTTTCCTTAATGCATCTGTAATATACACCCATGACATGCTCAGCTTGATAATTTAAAACAATCAAGTGTTTTGAGAAAAGAAATACAACAACAAAACCTAAGAAGTCTTGACTGGGACCACCTCTTGATATGCGGAGAGGGCCTGGGCATGTGCGACTGCGGCGCGCCCCACGATGCCCCAACCCATGAACCAAGTAAAAGAGCATGGACTAAGAAAAGTATGATATATTTCGATGAAGAAGAGAAAGATAGAAATGCTTTTCATACATGCTTTATATAGACTACTACAGGAGGATGAGACTCTCGGCGAGACTTATGTAATACCTAGGTTACCGGTATTACATGGTAGTATGGAGTAATCCGTCAATCCTAAGATCAGGATTACTCCTTGCTACAACACCCCCCCTCTCGCCAGAGTTCCTCCTGTCACCTTTAAACATTGATCGGCGTGTAACAAAGGAGAAAGATTCTTAGTAAAAATATCAGCAAACTGATGTTTCGTATCCACCCAGTGCAAATTTATTTTTCCTTCGTAATATGCCTGATTGCTGATGTAAAATTCCCTATCTGTATGGCGTGTCCTCTTGTTTGAACCATCCTTAGTACCTATCTTGATGGCAGCTTGATTGTCACAAAACACATCCGCTATGAATGTCAAACCAGTTAGATCTAACAGAAGGTTTCTGATCCATAAAGCCTCCCGCACACCTAAACCCATCGCCATGTATTCAGCATGAGCTGTTGAGCTAGCTACCGTAACCAGTCGTTTCGAAACCCACGCCACCGGACAACCAAAGCAAAAGATGATTAAACCATGCGACGATCTGGAGAATTCACCCCCCCAATTCGCGTCCACATAGCAGGACAGTCCACCACTGTCTGCATTCGGCCTTAGATACAGCGCTTGATCGCGTGTAGAGCCAAGATAGGCAATTAGGTGCATTAAGAACTTCCAATGGTCTTTCGATGGCTTCGAAGAAAAACGTGCCAAGAAGTTTACAGCAAAAGAAATATCAGGTCGTGTTGCGACAGCCAAATACGACAAAGAACCGACGATAGACAGATAGGTAGTAGGGTCCTCGCCAAACTCGTCAGGATTAGTCTCTGGTAGAGATGTGTTCGGAAAGGGAGTTTTAGCAGTGGTGATTCCGTCCCATCGCTCCGACAAGATTTTGTTAGTTAGGTTTGGTTGTCTTAACGTAAAACCTGCGTCATCCCTCTGTATGGAAATACCAACGATGTTATCCAAACCCGCCGCCCATTTGATTTTGATCGAGTCCTTAAGTTGATGTTCCAAGTTTCTCAATTGATCCTCGCTTGGCCCGGTGATGATGCCATCGTCTACGTGGATCCAGATAGCTCCACTACTCCCTCCTGTTAGACAATATACGCTAGTATCGTACTGAGAAGAGTGATAGCCCAGTCCTTCTAGGATGCCACTGAGGTGTTTCCACCAGCAACGTGCAGCTTGTCGAGTACCGTAAAGAGCTTTGTTCAGTCGACATGCAAAATTCTTTGGTACGTCCAAACCTTTAGGCGCTTCAACCCAAATCTCTTCGTCTATCGGTGAGTTTAGGTATGCCGCCACGAAATCAAAAGAATGCACAGGCCAATGGTTTTTAGCGGCTATTGTCAATATCAGTCGCATAGAGATAAACGTTGCCGTAGGGGCAAAGGTACTTCCAAAGTGTTCTCCTTCTATCTGTGAATACCCTTTCGCTACATATCGTGCTTTGAAACGTGTCACCTGACCCTCGTCATTCAGTTTCTTCGCAAAAACCCAACGAGCACCAAGCACCCGAGTATTGTCTGGAACGAGTCGCACATCCCATACGCCAAGATCTTGTAGGTTCTTCAATTCTTCCTTGATGGCTAAGATCCACTCCGTAGCGTTCTTATCCTTTAGTGCTTGATTGTACGTTTTCGGCAGGGATCCGTCACCCGTCGTATGAGTAAGCGCTGCTACGAGCTCTTCCTGCTTATCAAACTCAATCTCATCGGAGAAATCTCCTAGCGAGAATCTGTTAATGACACAATCGAACGAGTCCCCAACAGGGACATCGATGCGTTCCCGTCTAGTTATCTCCGCAGGAACCAAGTTCTTATCATCCAAGTCCAAGAACCTGCAGACCGCCGAATTGACAAATCGATCCTCGGACGGTATCCAGAAGCACCAACCGCGGCTGTCAGTCAGGCAGCTCACGAGTATACCTTCGAGCGCTCGATCATCTAGTTTCAGTCGATGGTCTTCTACGACGTGTACGAAACCCTTTGCTCCAAATGGTCTAAGGATATCCAGCAGAGGTTTCCGGTTAAAGAGTTTCTCGTAGGGTGTTACATCTCCGCTAGCCTTGTTCGGTATTCGGTTTAGTACCATACCTGCCCACTGAAAAGCCAAACCCCAAAAAGCCTTAGGTAGGCCACTGTCAACCAGAAGAGTCCGGCCTGTTTCCTGCAAGGTTCGGTTGAAGCGTTCAATAACGCCATTCTGGTAGTGATGATAAGCAACCGCTCGTTCCGCAACGATACCCTTGTTTTTTAGAAAATCACCGAGCGACTTCCCATTAAACTCCCCTCCATTGTCTGACCTAACTATCTTCACTGATAAGCCCGTAGATTTCTCCAGTCTTTGTATCGTTTCCATCAGTAGGAGCGTCGCATCTGATTTCAGTTCCAGGATCTTGACTTCGTTATAACCAGTACCTATATCTCTTATAGTCAACAGGTAACGGCCCCCAGTCATTGTAGGTACTTCAAAAGGTCCAACCAAGTCCACAGTCAACGCCTCCAGTCTCCCGAATACACGACCTTCTTTCTGCAGCGTCGGAACCATTTTACTCTTGGCGATCAAGCAAGAGGAGCACAGTACTTTACCGGGGGGAAGGCTACTGGGAAGGCCTAACCCCATTTGAAATTTGATCATGCGCTTCAAAGTCCTGAGGCTGACATGACCAAACTTTTTATGCAGAAAGAGCAAGTACTTCTCACTGGCAGTCAGGGAGGGAGCCTGCCAATCTGAACCACGGGGTTCAGGAACAGTAACCAAAAAAGGTTCATTATCAGGAAGAGCGTCCGCCGCGCGAAAGGAAGGTGGTTGGAGTACAACAGTATTAGGGTTAGGGGCAGTACAACCAGTAGAAAGATAGACCGGAGCAGTATTAGAGGATGGGGAAACAAAAGTAACTGAAGGGGAAGGATAACGATGAGGAGAAGGAAACGACCATTTGCGAGTGTGTGGATTGAAACGACAGATAGCCCACAAAACATGACCAGAAAAAATTAAGAAACTATCGGACGAGCAGTCATAAGAGAAATAGAAACCAGAAAGTCGAAGAGCAGCGGGAGAGATGAGAGTGACATTGGCGAAAGAGCAGTATAACACATTCTCAAGAATCACCTTCGTTCCATTGGCCCCAGTAAAAGCCATCGACCCCCGCGCTGTAATGAATTTGGCATTACCATCAGTAGCTACTCTCAGAGGAATGGGGTTGGTTAAAACAGTAATATTAAACAAAGCTGACTTGTCACCAGTCAAGTGATGAGAAGCACCAGTGTCGAAGAGGGAATCTTGAGGATTGGAGTCCGCATCTGGTGTAGGTGAGCAGTCCAGATTGTGAAAGGAAGGATTGCTTGGCTGGTCAACGGGTTCCGCAGCCCTTGCCGTCGGTCGGGCTCCACCGGAATGTTGTCCATACTGGGGCCTGTATGAATCCATGCGGCCACGCTGGACCGGGATAGCGTTGGGGTTTTGAGTGGTAGGGCGAGGAGGATAGTACATTGGAACCGAGCCAGTCGGAGCCAAGATAGGATAGTACGCCTGGAAGCCAGGCTGACCATAACCTGCACCATAACCAGTAGGAGCCGGGTGTTGAGGTCTGTGGGGAGCTGGAGCACGTGCATTGGGATCTGGAGCAGTGCATTGCCCAATCAAATGGTTGGGAGAGCGGCAGCGGAAGCAGATCCTACGAGACTGCTGAGGAGCTCCGGCCATCGCGTATACGTTGTCCGGGTGACTGACGATAGAGGGCGAACGCTCGTCACGAGCTGGAGCAGGAGATTCTTGATGGGCCGCTAAAAATTGAGGTGGCCTGCGAGAATCATCCAAGGTGTCCACAGCCCTGACCTGACAGATTGCCTCGCTTAAGATGCGCCAGGTCTTCTCAAACGTAATCACTTGTCGGCCATTGAGTGCGAACTCAGCATCGATTCTTCTGTCAAACTCAAGACGGAGATTTGAACCTTGGGGAATGGAGTCGTGGAGTACCAGCGGCAAGAGATCGTCATAAGCTAGATAGACTCCCATATCTCCCAGTTCGTCGATGATGGCTTTATATTGAGTGGCAACGCTGGCAGGGTTGGACGTCATGTCGACCTTGATTCTAAGCAATTCACGCCACTTGGTCAGCATGCGAGCTTTGCTGACGGAGCTGAATCGGGCCTTGATGGCCTCCATCATTTTATAGCTGGAATCCTTAGAGTAAAGTTCATGTTTGAGGGAGCTGTCGATGACACCAAGAAGGATCCGGCGGCCAGCTGGTTCCATCCGAGGGCGAGCACAGGGAGAATTGAAAAAGTCCTTATCCTGTAAGAAGCTGAGAGCGATCATCTCAATGTCGCGAGTCCAGGAACGAAAGTTGGAGCCATCAGCCATCAAGAAGTTACCGGAGCCGAATTCTTGGATAGCGTTGTTGACCATGGAATTGATGCCACGCTGGTCCTCCATGATCCGTTGGTCATCAACAGGTCTGTCATTGGTGTGAGGGGCATGATCACGATGACGGCGCCGACTGTCCACATTCCTGTCATCGATGTTGTCCCGAGGAGCACGACGATCCTCAGGGTGATCCTCGTGTTGTTCGTCCAACAACGTATCATTGTGAAAGGATGCGTCGCCAGCATCCTCCAAGGAACCAGGGGTCATGGCGGTGCGACGAACAGGGGAATGGCGGACAAGAGGCATAGGAAACTTGGTGTCGACGACGGTAGGAAGAATAGCAGAAGTTAAGAGAAAAAGTAGAAGTAAAAAGGCGAAGTAGAGGAGC